GCTCGATAATGACAGCGCACGGCGGCCGCCCATGCCCCACGGAGTTGACGGCGCTGCAGGCAAAGCACACGATTCTGCGGCGTGTCAGATGACAGCGCAGGTCATCAGGAGGGCGCCAAGGCTGCTGGTTGACGTTGCGGGACTACTGGGGCACCCTGTGCCGACCGGGCGAGGGCATGACCGCATTGTGCAAGGTGAAGGGGCTTTACCGAGCCCGTACCGTGGCCGAAGCCCAACGGCCACCCGGCAACGCCAACGTTCAAGAAACAATGGATCTGGAGGTCGGCTCGAAGGGCGTTTTTGGCTCCCAACTTCGCTGCGGAAGTCACGAGATCGTGACGAAACTCTAGTCGGAGTCCGTGCCAACTTTGTTTACAGTCCACCAACCGTGGAGGCGAACAAAAAGCCAGCAGACGAGCAATGTAGTGAACAAAGAAACATTCCGCCATTCAGCTCATTTTATCGTAATGCATGGACGTAATCGCTGGCTCGATATGCATGCAAGCTTAAAACGTAGCAGATGAAAGTGGCAAATAATTTGAAATTAACACAAAAAAATGGTGCCAAACACTAACAAAACGCCTGCAAGTTTGAAATGCAGCCTTGCTGAGCGCCGGCTGTACCAGTTTAACGTCATCGATTAGGGCAGAAATAATGATGGCGAGGTCCTAATCACAACAATGAATTATTCAGCCGGCTTACGCAGCGAAAATAACGCTTCACACCAGAAAAATATTTCGAAAATTAGGTCATGACTTGCTGACGAGGCTCAGCTGCCATTCAAGGGGGTATCAGGGGCAGTCAGAGGCTCACAAATACCACGGTAGCCAAAAGTTTGAATGACGAAATGGACGTGAAACGCCCGAAACAACAAAACATGTCTTACACGTCTGTAATGGATGCTGACGTACTCACAACGGGTCGAATACTCACAGACGGCAAATTAGCTTTGATCACCATTCCAAGGCCGGGGGTTTAGACACGCTGCAACTTTGCCGCCGCAAGTTACAGACAGATGACCTCCCACTTCCGCCCTCCGTCCCGCAACTGGACCGTCGAGTCTGGCAGCACCGAAGCCCGGCCAGAGCAGCTTAGCGGCCACTGCAGGCCCATCTCGCGTCTCGCGTCACACGCCGCCACCAGCCGACGGAGGCTGTGGAGCGACGGTGGCAGGACCACCGACAGCGTCGCGCCCCACTGCCCAGCACGGCCCGGCCCGGCCCGGGGTCAGACCCGGGTCCCACGGGCCGACGGCGCTTTGAACGGCCTGTCCCGTGACCTGACCCCCGGTCCCGGCCGGAGGGCGGAGAGCAGTGTCGGCAGTAGTGCTGCCGGTGCCCCTGCAGCGGGCCGCTCGGATAGCAAGGGGAGGCCGCCCCTGCCCTCGGACCGGTGGCGCTGTGCTCACAGCGGGCCCGGACCGGCGCCGCCGTGCTTACAGTGGACTCAGACTGGCGGCACTGTGCTTACAACGGACCCCGACCGGCAGCGCCGTGTTCACAGCGGGCCCAGATTGGCCGCGCCGTGCTCCCACCCGCTCCTGAACGGCCGACCCGTGCTGGCTCTATCGTCAATGTTTGGAAACGAGGCTCCTCCGTGTGACCGGCAGCGGGATAACAGTCAAATGCTGGAAACGGCTTTGATATCTTGCCCAGAATCGCCACATCGAGGCAGCCAATGCCGTCAAAGGGGTCAAGATCGTTTATTTGGGGATATTGGCATAGTCCGACAGGAGGGCGGATGAAGTCAGACAAGACGACGACAGCGATTCTTCTGCTTCCATGACATTGTTTTCATTCTCTGATAAAGGGCGGCATGGAACATGAGTCTGCGCCCAAAATATATTTGGATAGCCATCAAGCCATTAGAAGCACAAATTACAGTTCCTCTCAATAAAGTGGAGTAGTTTCATACCGTAACTTATGCTTACTGATACCCGCATAATTATCTAAGATTACGGAGTCGACATGTCGCTAGCTTCAGCGTAGCAATTACATCTTTAATTCAAGGCCACAGTGGCATTTACAAAAGGAGTCACTCCGCAAGTGCTGGCACATCCCGCGCGCAACATTCGGATCAAGCACCTCCAGCAGCTATCAGATCCTGGCCGCCAGATGTTCCTTGGCCCACCAGGGTTCAGTTCCGTAATTAATATGTGTATGGTGCGCTTACGAGAACAGATGCAGATAGATAGATACGCATACAGTTGATGGACGGATAAACACGCGCAAATATAAATATCGACATAAACTGGATAGATCCGTACATACGTGTGCGTTAACTCAACGGCACAAATACCGTGCGTGTTTCGAGGATTGGAATCTCAGCTGATTTAGATGTCCTGCCCACCTGCCCACATGACGCCACAGATAGAAGTAGCACAGGACGCAGCCGGGCCAACACAACACACCCTTACTCACCTAAATCCGGCCCAGATTGGCATCGCGCGATGTTTGATGTATCTGTCTGACGCAACCCCCCCTCCCCCCTTCTCCGCTCCGTCCTACACCCGTTTCCCATAATAGCGGGCCAGCTGATCCCAGCTGACCTGGCCCACCGTTACTGGGGCGGGCTTTGTTTTCTCGCATATCTGGCATCAAAACTGCAGTCACGTTTCTGCCAGCCCTGCAGAAATCACGGTTTGTGGAGAGCTCTGAACCAAAAATCTAGAGCGCTCTGCACAGACGACACCGACACCGAATTCAAAACGACAGTAGAATGGTTCACAAATGAACATCAACTACCTCTGTCCTGTCTCATATGTCGCATTACTTTGAACTGCCCACTTGCTTAACTTATGTCAGCAAACCCTCTTAGTTCTCACAATCATATGCAGTCTTCTATCGCGCGCATCTGGAGTTTTGGAAGCCAGCGTCGTAACTTTGAGGTTCAATCTCTTTGCTATTCCGGCGTGATCATTTCAATCATCTCTGGAGAGCCCTTCGATTATTTTCAATTACATTCCGGCTTTGTTTCGAGAAATCGACTGTCGCCCGCCCTATTCATAGCAGTGTGTGTAGTCCACCTACGGATTGCTTCAGCAGGAAGTGCTGAACTTTACAGCTATTCCTCCCCTAAATTCGTAGAATCGAGTGACCGTACGTAGTGCGTCTCTTCCGTACGTTCCTTAATATGCTCATTGTTTAGAAAGCATGATGACAGGATATTCCCACGTCTGTGGGTTATAAGAGGGAATACGGCGCACGTAGTAACGCACCCTTTTACGGAGAGCTACCGACTGCAGTAGCCATATTAGCGCTCAGAGACTTTGACGCAACCGGGGCTCAAACCTGACAACCACTCTCCCCCCCCCCCCCCCCCGCCCCCATGGGAGCCGACGGCACCAACACCTAGGCCGTTACGCCACGATATATATGTAGTACCACGTTTGACTTGGTGTGAAAACAAAAGGCAAAATTATTTTCACTTGTAACAAATGTGATGAACTTTCTTTTAAATGGACCCTGAAATGGTATCACGGATGGATAATTGTCCATTTTTTTTTATTATATCTGGATATTTTTTATAAAATCTGGACAATTATCATATATATTATATGATAATTGTCCAGATTTTCGTCCTCGTCCGGTGTGCTATTACACATGGCAAGTTCCAACCAGTCCGCCAACCGTGGTCGATTCGAAAGATTACGAGTTGAGTGCTCTACCACTGAGCCAACCGTGGTGTCCTTCCCAACCGTGGTGTCCGTGGCGTCCTACTTCAGCCCAGTGGTAGAGCGCTGGACTGGTAACACCCCGGTTCGAATTTCAGCAACGAAATGAAAAAAATCAGATTGTGACGCGTACATGGCCGAAGTCCGAACAGCATCAAACCCTTCTCCGGACTCATTAACGCTTGACGATGGCCGGAGAATTAATCGACTGAAACATTACCATTACTAGCATAACAGGCGAGGCGATAGTTCGATTAATTACTCCATCCGTGACGCTAACACCTCACGTCAACAATGCCGTAAAACTCTTTTGTCTCTTACTTTACGGGACAACCGTCTTCGCGAGAACGAACACCCGTTCTGGAAATTCATAGGACGATACACAAAAAACGATCATATAGAACTGCTCATTTGAAAGCTGCAGAAGGCTTCTGGTTATAATTTGAAGTGACCGAGCATAACAGGTGCATGACATCAAACTGGGGGCCATTATAACTTGAGAGCACAGAATTTGCACTTCAATCAGTTCCACTCCAACTTCAATTTTCAATTTTCACTCCAATTTTACTTTGACCCGCCTCGATCACGACTGATTAAACGTGCCTTGAAAAGCTGAAGGCTCCCCGGAGTGCCGTGAACCACATGCACGGCTGAGAGACGGCGATGACCACGCGGACAAGGACGTGCAACACATGTAATGGCCTGTGCACTGACACGGTTGACATCACTCCTGAGATCCTACACGACCAGACGGGTTGGCAGCCAACAGCTGGCAAGCCCATGGGGCAATGGCAAAGCGCGTGGACTGCATAACTAACCGGTCATGATCAGACGACACCATGCATGAGCGGGGATCCGGGTGACACCTGGCCGTCGGTGCCTGGGATTTGTTATTGAACCTCACGCGACAGGACAGGACGGAACACGTCCACGTTCAACGTGCAGGAGTGGAGGACCATCTAGCGCTGGTCCCGCAGGCCGGCGTCAGGTGAGTAGATGGACAGAACCGCCTAGATGGAGCGACAGAAGCACCTGGACAGAAGCAATCACAAACCAGCACAATACTTCGGAAGTAGACCAAACGGCACGCACTCTGTACCCGGATTCTCTAGCCTGCGAGACTCCAAACCGCAAGCATTCCACACGACCACAGAAGCCCGCGTCAAGGCTGAACGAGGCAGCGTCTGGACGGCACCAGTAGCCTGCCGCGCTCCTCAGAAGCGGGCCAAACAGCCAGTCAGCCAGCCGGCCACAGGAAGCGTGCCTGAGACGGTGCCGTTAGTGCGGAGCTGGCGTCGGCAGCGGGCGTGCCGCGCCCGGTACGTACTCGCTCCTCACACGTCCGCAGCCACGCTCGCGGAATGGCGCCAGGCCGTCACGGCCGGGCGCCGTCAGTAGATGATGTTGTACATGACGTAGAGGAACAGGAGGAAGGCCACCAGAATGCCGTAGGTGCCCAGCAGCTCCCGGCTCTCCATGTCCGTTTCCAGGTGGTCGCCGGCCTTCCTGTCCGCCATGGTGGGAGGCTCGCGGGCGGCGGCACTGGCGCGCGATGCGAGGGGCACTGCCGAGCACCGTCTCGGCCCGCTGCCGTGCGCAGCGCGGGCGGGGTGCCTCTGCGCCGGCGCCTCCAGCGGCACCGCCTTGGCAGGCGCTGCCGGCCCGCGGCAGCCGGGTATTTACATCTGGGCCGCCATCGAGACCGGCCGTGTTTGATTTGAAAGCAAACAGGCGCTCATCAGGTCGATCGGTGGCCGACAGCCAGGTGGTGCGAACTTCCGAGGGGGCCGGCCCCCGCGGGACGGCCAGGTGCCGCCCCAGCCAGGTCACCGGCGGCGGCCGGTGCGCGGCGCCGCCAGCACCGGCTGCCACACAGGAGACGGCTTTGAAGCCTCCGCCGCGACACCGCCAGCTCCCGTCAGCGCATGGCTTGAACTATGAAGTTATGCAAAGTTGGCATGTCATAATGGCACCAGCAGAGTCATGTGGTGCCCAAGAACAAAACGTCACAAGAGGAATGCTCTGTGCGATGCAAAATATACAAGCATTTGTAATTCTATTCTGAGGGCCTGTCTCTCAACCATGATAACGATGCTTTCCAAGTGCAAGACAAACATTCCTGGAAAAACTCGGTCATAAAATCACAGAATATGCATTCTTGGAAAATCAAGAGGAAAACTTTATGCCAAATACAAAGCCTGAATCCCTGAAAGACACATCAAGCGGCAACAAGAGCACATGCCATATACCCTTACCATCTATACCACCTCTGCATCAACAAACTTATCAGTGCATTAACTGCAGCATGGTTTCCATGCAGTAACTCTGGCAGCTTCTCCACACACTAAACTCAATACATGTCATCTGAGGGGGCAGTGTTCACTGAGACCACACACATGCATTCCCCCATATGACCAACATAGCCATCACCATGATAACAACAGCATGAACATTTCAGGAAAATGCTGATGTTACCCAATAATTAGGTGAAAACAAGGTTCTGATCTCTATCAAATGGCATCCATCCAAACTGGGTGGGTGAATGAATTAAAGCAATGATGAACAATATCGAACTGGGCCCACCAAAAGTCTTTAGTAATGACATTCAGATCAGCTTGAAAAACTTCAAAAGTATGCATAAAACTGGTATTCTTGAAGACTTGACCTTCCTTTAAATTTGTCTCAAGCTTCATGCCTATTACATTATGTATTAAAGTTGAATGCATCAATGTAGTTTTGTTATTGTGCAGGCAACTAGAGTATGTTGCTGTGGTGTTTATTTCATAGCAAACAGTTGTAATCACAATTGTTTGCTCTGGATTATTCCAAAGAAAATCAGCACCATTCTGAAACTGCATTCACAAAATCTGGGCCTAATTGACATATGATAATTAAAAGGCTGAAATTACAACTTGTGAAAACCCATCATAGGACTGCCAGCACACATATTTTCACCATGAATGTTGGAGGTAGAGAGAGGAGCATAAGTCAATGGTGATTGTATTACTCTACAAAGCATAAGCTTAAAACTGAAGGTTACCCTTATATAATATGATGGGTTACTCTTTAGGATTACCAAAAGCTGTGTTGTGTAAATGTATTCCCCTGATTAATTGGCTTGTTTCTTTTTTGAAGGGGTTTACCAATTGCATTGCATGATTCCTGCATGGTTTTGGAGTTACTAATGGGTGACTGGGGGCAAGTACCACTTGGTGCAACCTCTCTGCTGATGGCACTTCCATTAAAGCAACACATTAAAAAGCAGCATTGTGAAATACTCCAAAGTGCAAAGTGGGGCTTCAGTGTGCTTTGATGGCTGGCAAAAATTTGTTCATGACTTCCCATGACATGCTGTGGTCTTGAACCTGATTTTCAGGATCAGAATCTTGCATTTGTGTGCTGGCTAGAAAAGAAAATGTAGGATAAAAAATAACAAAATAGGTTTGAAGTCTTAAATGACTCATGTTGACCAGTTAATGCCAATCTAACTCATGATGGCCATTTAATACCTACTGCAATGAAAACATAAAAAATTGCATGAACAATCAAACAAAGCAATAAAATAGCTACTCTTCTTCCTTTCAGCATTACAACAAATATTGACCCAGTATAGATAACTTCACCAGGTAGCTTGCTCCATTGATCTACTATCCTGTTGCCCTTACTAGCATCATAAGCTAGTCCTGCTACATTTACTTCTCATCTTTTCTTATATACTCCTATCACCTTTGTGTTATAGGACAACCTGCACACCATGGGAAATTTTGACAAGATCTTGTTGGGCTTTAGTTCGGGCAGTTCATCACAATCTTGGAGCAGAAATTAATGAAGTTAACTATTGAGGGCATCATGTGCTCTATGATCAATTATACCCTAAAATTACTTACATCACAGGTGACCAAATCTGATGGTAAATCATGTTGTTGGGATACTCTAGATTAACAAAATCTGCCTCCATGGGGGCAACTTACTATCCTATATGGGAGAGGATTCTGACTGTCCCAAGCATCCTGTAGGCATGTGTGCCATGGCTTGCAGACTCACTAGCATGCAGTTGGTTGGTAAAACCTCATCCCACCCCCAAACTAAGAGATTTAATAATGCAAAAACAATGGGGGCATACCTCATGGGCTTAATATATTTACTCACATCCCACTTTTTCAACAAATAAAAATGGCTCAACAAGTTATAGATCCAAGCCCAAATATAATTGGGCACCAATAGGTCCTTGATATTTGGTATGCAAGCATGAAGCTTAGTTGAGTTTTCCACAGCTTAGTAATAAATATGTGATGATGACTTGACACTGAGGGTTAAGTAACCAAACATGAGGTGGCAATAAATAGTCCTGACGATCCATGTGGACTACTGTACTCTGTAGCTTAAGGATAATTCACCATGGAAGACAAAGCTGGAATTTCCTTCACATCCTGTGCAGGCTGCATCAGGGAACATAATAACACTTCCTTCAACTCAAGATCCAGCCTAGAACAAAGCGCTTACTCACGTTGGTTGACGGCACTCCGCGGAGCTGGGCACACCCGGCGCACCCGGCGAAATCGACGCAAGACAATGCGCTGTCTGAGCTGCTTTGTGAATGCAACGGCTATCCCCAGATCCCTTGGTGACCAGCAGACTACAATATATTTGGCTCCAGACGCAAATGTGGGTATGCATGCGCCACCCTTAGTTCCGATCTCACTGCGATACACAGCTATACCCCCGTAACCACATCGCACCCCACTCGCGGCAATGGCGGCGCTATTCTTCGTAAATAAAGTTATCCCCTCAGGCAGCTTGAACAGCTGTTGTAAAACGTGTACGGTAAATGTCATGGTGTATACGTCTTAAAGTTTGCGGGGTTAGCATACCATCCAATTTCTGGCATCATATGAACTTACGATCGCTGATACACTACCCTTTTTCGTGCCCCTTCCCCGTGGCAGTGGCCATCACGCTGCTTTGATGGTGTGGTCGTTAGTCGTCAGTTTGGACCCGGTAGAGCAAAAGTTTGGAGTGCCCACATCATTCATTGCCCCCATAGTTGAAAACATGTGTTAAATGCCTCGGCCGGGTCGAAAAGCTGTGTTTTTGTGCTGTTGTTTTGTGTTTGTGACGCAATGCAGAACGAGGCGGATGTGCAACGCAAGCTCGAGAGGCCCGAAAAAACAAAACCTCTAGTTTTGAAGATCTCATTGGGTTACCAATACGCACACGTGTAACCATTTCTTCTAGATTTAATACAGACAGCTACGACTTTCAACAGTCATGTTTAGTCTAAGGTTGAACGTTGAGTTCGTTCTCGCAGAGCTCCCTGTAACGCGTAAATAGGTGGCGCTAGTGTACCCACCGACGTATGGCCTAGAGGGCGTTGTAACATGTCCCCAACGCTTACACGTGAGCAGCATGGGTGGGACCTGTGGTCACCGCCACCACGGGTGGCGATTTGCAGTGCTTTGTGAGGGCCCTAACCCCCCCCCCCCTTCCCATGTTGAGTTGGGGCCCAATGTTGGCCTTGGTCTTCCAACATTGCTTACTGGAAATTTTACAGCAGCTTTTGGATAGAGTTCACCATCACAAAGAACATTTGATTTGATCCTTCCGCGTAGTGACCTCGCCATGGAGGGTGCAGCGAGGTAACTTAACCCGCGACCTCAAAGTTATTCCTTCAAATGAGGGGTGGCTCTAGCTATTGATGGTCAACTATTTCATATTTGACCTTTGTCGTCTGTCAAGCGTAAGCACAGTCACTTCTTTCAAAGCAACTTGAACGTGGCACCTTGACATTGGTCCGTCCCGATAGATCAGTTGGTAAGGGCGCCTGCATTCCCATCCAACCACCCTACGTGAGGACAGTTCGGGTCACTTCAGGCGCGCACTGGTTGTCCTTGACAGGTAGGTATGGCCCGAAGCCGGCGGTACTGGCCGCTCTAAACTGGTCGGGTGACGTCAGAGGGCAAGATGGACCACGCAGAGCATTGCGGGACGTCAACTTTCGACACCAAATTCAACCGTTGGCCTGGAATTGCGCGATTGGATGGTAGGGGTCAGGGCTCACACAGCAAGTATTGCTTGCCGCGAGCTCTGATCCCAGAAGTCCATCAATGTAAAAAGGTTGGACTTAATGTTAAATTTGCGGAGGCGTTACGTCGTCAGTTCAGATTAAAGGTCCACAGCTACAAAATGAGAAACAAAACAGAACATTGTTTTGCTGGGACGGACTTAAAACCGGATTCCTTGCCAAACATAATTATTTATTCACTCCGATCCCACCATCGGTTCAAGGGGCACAATCTGCCTCGGGCCTTATCTAAACAGCACGAAACGACCTCTGCCGTGACATGCGATTACATGACTCTTGGCCGTCCTGTAACCAGGCTGACGCAATCTGTCAAGCCAAGGGCGAAATGGCGCTCTTTGACGAGCCACATGCAACTCATTCTGGAAAGCGAATCCACCACCACCACGCGTTTCGGCACATCACGAATGTGGTCAGCATAACATCAGCGCTCTACCGAAGTTGGGTTTCGGCAACGACGACTGGTGTGTCTGTGCAACAATGCGCGTTGTGTTTGCGAGCATTTTACGCGCTGCAGCCGACGGGTTCGTGGAAAGGCGATGTCTGTAAACTGCCTTTTTACAAACTGTTTTTGCGAAAAGTTATCCTCCGTCACCCGAAAGCAGGCACGCGTAATTAATATCGGATGAATGCATGAAACCGTGAATGGGATCAGCTGTATTGCTTTTGACATACCCTTGCACTTATCGAGACAATATTATGGCAAAGTCTGAGCTTTATCTGGAATGCCGTGGTCAATGTGTTTTAAAATGTGTAGTGGCGTTCTTTGACCATTTTAGGGATTTCACTAATTTTGGTTTAATTCAAACTTCTAGACTGCAAGGCAGAAGTGCATCACTGCGTTTAGCAGAAAATGATGTTATCTAATAATAAACACTCATGCATTTAAGTCAAACTTATTTTGTAGGCGGATCTATTATCACTTTGTAATGCCGAGAAGAAATAGACAACTGGATACTACAACGGATTGCATAAGACGACATGCCTCCATCTAACGGACATTTACGCGCGCCTGAGGCACATAAAAACAAGCTAGATATAAATAGGCAAGCGGCGGTCCTTTTAATAGCACATGCATTTTTACGCTACAGGCACAACAAACTCACTCACACCGTTGTTTCACAGCATATTTTTGTACATCTAATCGAAGAAATTTGCTCTAAGTCTCAATCCTGTACAAGCAATGGAATTGTCAATGAAAAGTCAATGAAAGTGAATGAAATTGTTGATGACATGACATAAAGATGAGCTGAAAAATGTGGCACGTCCCCAAATTCAGACCAAATTTGTTTAGTGTCGCTCGCGCGTCACACAAAAATGGGACTTGCATACAGCAACAGTGTTTACATGTGGAGCTCTGTGACCTAGGCCCAAGCACAACAAAGAAAATTGGAGCAGCCTGTGTCATTTGGGCGAATGGCTCGGCCCAAAACCCGGTAGCTGAATCCGTTAAAGTAGTCAGATGCGTACCGCCACATAGAAAGGCATATTGTCGTATAAAGCAGTGCGCCCACCACCACTCGAACACCCCTTCACTCGTCATAAAAGTTGTCTTTGCTCTCGCCGTTAGTTAAAGAGGATTTTCAACATTTGCAGGGGTTTCAAACTGAAATGTCTATCGTGAAGATCAATTCGTGCAGTTCACAGCCCTGCCCTTCTTAAGACCAAAAGCCGCACAATATCTGAGTTACACGACCACGGAGATGTGCAGGCTTTTTGGCGGAGACCATTTTAAAGGTCACCTAGGCATCCATGACGCCATAATAATTTCATTGAAATCTTGACATTCCATTAGCCATGCGATGATCAAGGCTAAAAAATATATCAGTTCCGAGCTGTTCATATCTAGCATCCGTGAGCACGGTTTCTAGATTTAACGGCCTTCAAATGGCTCTCAACCAATATTGTGCAAGGTATGTTAACGCAATGAAGCAATGACGTGTTGAGGGGCATATTTTTCTAAACCGAGAAACTGTATTGTCTTCACGGGGTTTTCCACTGAAATGTATATCAATAGTTATAAGTGAGTCCATTTCATGATATCTGACGCTTGCTTTAATATCTTCAAATGCGAAACACTTCCTTTAAAGATATTTTTTTAAATTCTTATTTCAGTTCAAAGCCCCATGCAAACGTGAAACACTCCCTTTAAACACGTTGCAGCTGAGCGCATAAACGACGTAATAAACTTAACATGCCTAGTGTCATAAGCCACCCAAACGTTTGAGAGTTCACACTAAGAGCGCTAGACTACGAGTATAATAATCACGAGTACGGGAAAGTTATTCATGGCTTACCCCGCTGCCGTGCCCGGCAACCAAAAACACGTGCCACCGGCCACCACTGCCATAGAAGCGAGCCTTCGGCGTCCGAACGCGGCCTCTTGAGGAACGCCTTGACTTTCCGATCAGAAAGGGCACGTGCCTCTAGTGTCACTGCCTTCCTCCCCCTCCCCGTCTTCTGGATCCGCCCCTGTATGATAACTATGCTGTTTTAATTAAGGGCTTCATTATACGTAACACAAAATTTAAGAATACTAGTCCCCTTTCATCATCATCAGGTGAGTCAATCAGTTGTTGAGAAAACATAGGGGTAAGTCGCCGGGCCCTTGGTTCGCCCCTGACCATTTACAAAAATTGACACCTCTGACGGTCACAGTTCCCGCCACATGAAAGAACCTTCCCCCCGCGAGGTGAAAGAACCGCTCCCCACCACGCGAAGAACCGCTCCCCGCCACGTGAAAGAACCGCTCCCCGCCACGGAAAAGAACCTCTCCCCGCCACGAAAAAAAAACCTCTCTCCACCACGGAAAAGAACCTTACCCCGCCACGGAAAAAACCTCTCCCCACCACGGAAAAGAACCTCTCCCGACCACGGAAAAGAACCTTCCCCCGCCACGGAAAAAACCTCTCCCCACCACGGAAAAGAACCTCTCCCCGCCACGCAAAAGAACCTCTCCCCGCCACGGAAAAGAACCTCTCCCCGCCACGCGAAAAGAGCCTCTCCCGCCACGCGAAGAACCGGTCCCCGCCACAGTGAAAGAACCTTTCACCGCCACATCAAAGAGCCTAAGAACCTCGCCCCGCCACGTAAAAAACCTCTCCCCGCCACGGAAAAGAACCTCTCCCCGCCACGCGAAAGAACCTCTCCCCGCCACGCGAAAGAACGATGGAGCGCACAACAGACTGCGAAAAGGGACCGAAGAATGGCGGCGAACTACGGGACGCTCTTCGGCTGCGGCTTCTGGCGCGGCAGCCGGTGAGCTGGTCGACCACGATGTCGGACTAAGCCGCGAAAGCCATTCAGCCGCAGAAATGTTTGTCCAGCAACTGTTGCGCACGTGTGGTCCACGATAGTGGAGAGTATGCAGGTCGACATGTTGATTTGGCAGCTTGAGATTGCAATCGACTTGCATAATTCGCTCAGAATTGGCTATGAACTTGACATGCGCAGCTTCCGCAAGCAGGCATAATTATCCACAAGTCGATCTGGCAGCACGCAACGCTACAGTGCGGCCTTCGAGAAAATGCTTCTCCAGTGAACATTTATTGCTTGATTGAATTGGTTGTGTGGAAGTTCGGTTCGTGACAGTCCCCATAAAAACATGCTAAACGAAGGATTACCGCTGATCGATGTTGGACGTTATTCATTGGGCCGGAAACTGATGACAGACTGTGATTAGTTAACTGTGAAGCGATGTGAAGCGAAGCGAAGCGAAGCGAAGCGAGTGTAATGACAGACGGTGACGTGGATTGTGATTCGCAGTTAAAGAGAGTGTTCACATTTGCGGATATTGAAGAAAGCATCATATCATCATCATAAAGATGTGATGAAGTGGGCCCAATTTTTTAGTATTGTTACGCTTATAAGTGGAAAGGACCACTCTAGACAATACAATTTCTTCTTTTTTAGTAAATATGCTTCTTAATATGCCATTGTCTCAGTGCGGCATTGTACCTTGCACAGCATTGATTGAGAGTAAATTTATGTCTGAACCGTGCTCACAAACGCCATATAGGAATTATATTTTATTGTCCTCGATTGCCACACGGTCAATGGGATGGTAGGATTTGAATGACGTCGTTATGACGTCATGGATGCTCGGTGACTTTGAAATAGTCTGCCAAAATAGTTTGTACATCTTCGTGGGTGTGAAGCTCAGAAACTAGAGGGTTTAAGGTCTTTAGAAGGACAGGTGTGAACTATACCGAATGATCTCTTAAGTGGCTGTTTCAGTTCAAACTCCTATACCATGTGGAAAACTCCCTGACTACTGAGTAATCATGCTGGAATGGTGCGCATGTGTTTTCACGTGCCCATGCTGGTCGGCTCCACAGCTCATCCACTGTGGCTGTTTCGCCGTGCATAAAGCAACTTCAGATGTGATTGGCACAATGTCTGTCTGAATGTGTCTGAGGTACTTTACTCCCACGCCTCAGCAAGACAGGGCGTAATCTGTCGCGTCAAACGCAGCTTCCACAGTAAGGCGCGGGCAGCATAGTCTTATCAATCGCCGGTCCCAGTCTGCGACCCTAAAAACGGAACTGTCAAGAACTGTCGAGTGCTCCTCCACAATGTGCCGAGGTCCGACAAGGTCATTACGAATGACTTGCCGTATCTGTGCGAGCGTGACACTTAATGACGTCAAGAGGCGACCCAAGGCAGCAAAAACTTTTTGACGCTATCGTTGCCATCACCAGGAAAAAGCGGTTTGGAAAGCATGTTTAGTGCCTTGGATACAGAAAAAGTATTACGTGACATCGACCTCGAACTTACTAATGCGGAAACCGTCTAAGTCTCACGCGAGCAGGCACAAACCAAGTGATTTCGAATGCGTTGACCCTGATGTGACTGCGTTCAAGATAAAGCCGTGCTTTGTGGATTATTTTGTGCATCCCTCGAAATTGAAGATCCCGGTGCTGCATGCAGCGAGGCCTCCACTCACGATAATTGTACATGGCTGGTGTCTGGGTAAACATGTGTTACCCTCAAAAACTACATCAATTTGCCAAGCAAATAATCGTAGGTGTTTGAAGGGGGAGTAGCTTTCAACCGCAAAGTACCAACTTCCAAGGCACCGCATTCATGCATGTTAAATGTGTGGCCAATGCACAGTATTTTTATTTCATAAAGCTCAGTGAAAATAGCTATTTATGACACAGCCTGACCCTGAGTCCCGCCAGCTGTTCAACATCAGCACACAAAAGCAGCTCGACTAGAGGCCTGCGTATCACGCGCCGGGGTCCCCCGTAGCCGGGGGACCTGATTCTGACCGACCCGTCCGTCCTGACAACAGCTAGAGCACACAGGTACAGCTTACGCACGCTTGTGTCCGGGCCTCCAAACGCTCTCATAGAGTGCAGGCCCGCAAACGACGAAGTAATCTGACCTCCGCAGACAGTACTGGCCTACCGTCTTCGGTTCCCTAAGCTGAGATAATTCACTTGCCTATTGTCTCTCACAGATAACTGGCTGCTGTGGTGCGCACAGGCCCTACTCTGTTTCAAGTTCTGCAAGTTTGTCGGATTGCAGCTTGTACAGTTCGCCTATGCCAGCCTGGTCAGCTTCTCTTCCTCCAGTTGTGTCCGTTTTCCCTCCGTCACTTCAGCCTGTATTCCCTGCTCCGACTGTACCCGCTTGGCGGTCGGCTGTTTGGACTGTGGCCGGCCGGTGTCCGCTCCGTCGGGCTGCCCGTACCGGTCCACGACACCGGTGACCATGATCAGCAGCACCACCAGGCCGCCGGACGCCATGCAGGCCCCAATGGCGAAGTACTGGGCGCCGTAGTCGCCCGTGCCGTCCGCGATCGCTCCTGAATGGGAGGGGCGCCTGGGTCAGCGGCCGGCGGCCGGCGCGGGGTCAGGGGTCATGAGGACGAACCAAGGTCACGCCAGTCAGCGGGTGTCAGACGGAAGTGGACCGGTGGACCGGCCGCGTCACAGGGTCACGTGAAGTGCTGTAAGGCAGGAGAAATCCAAACAGCTCGGAAGAGTGACTTGATATGGTCAGAACCGCACGAGTAAGTAACACATGAATCAGCGAGAGCGAGATATTTGAACAGAAGCCGCCACCAGACAGAAAGAGTTATTCATATCAGTGGAGCATGCCACGATACAACAATCAGTGAAACACGTGGCAAGCGCGGAGACGTCAGGGGATCGCCACACACGAGTGGGCATATCGTCGAAGCAGGTGACTGAGTTGCGCGGTCAAAGTGCAGCACCAAGGAACCGGTCACGTGGTCTCAACGGCACGCCCGAGTGACAAAGGAGGAAATCTGAGAGCCTCATCAGATTGTAAAGATAAGCACTGCCCACCCATGCCAGGTAAGAAGATAAAGGTGCGCTGTGTGTCGACACCAACTGCATGTAAGCTGCATTTTTGTTTGCGGACCTTGTTATACCAGGCACGCATAATCGGCGCAGACAAAAAAAAAAACTCACCGAATATGGGTGGCATGACAAGCGTCGACAGCCCGTGAAACATCTTAAGGAGGCCGAAGGAGACGGCGATCTTCTCGATACCGTGGTGGTCGGCCATCACCGGGGCCGTGTTGATGAACCACGCACCCATGCCGATGGTGCACACCAGGAACATGGCGAGGATGGAGCCGTAGCCGCGGCAGAACGGCAGCACCAGCACCGCCCCGCCGGCCAGCAGCTGGCTGAAACAGGCAACAGGGGGTGCTGGGGACGGGATCAGGGGGATGGAGACGACCGGTTTCGGTCATGCGGTGATGGCGATGTTTCGAAACGGTCAGGTGTGCCCTTGCATGCAGTGCCGGGATGAGTCGCGCTTCCAGCCCAGGTGACAAGTGCGATTCCAGACCTTCGCATTGGCGTCGCCGCACTGGTCAGCATTGGCCCAGTGCTCAACCGCTGCACGCGCCACCAGAACGAACGTCTGTGATAAACGGATCATGCTATTCGAATTTGAAGATAGGGTGTAGCAATGCTACCCACACCCAGAACAAAAAGAGCAAACAAATCGGGTGAACGCGCATGACTTCGTTGTTAGTCCGTATGTTTATGTAGCATGAGCTTGAACGGGAATGTCTTCCCATAGCCTCCTGGTGTATCTCCTGACTCCCATAACATGTCTGAAAAGCAGCATAACTCATCAAAGCGACGCAAAAGCGGTGTATGCTTACTTTAAACGCGCGTAACCACCAAGGCACAAGTGAAAACGTCCGCGGTGCAACAACGCCCCCTCGGCCCCTTACCTCGCGGCTAGCGCGTACTGGCGTCGCACAAAGCCCTTGTCGAGAAGCCAGCCAAAGCCAAGCCTGCTGGCCAGGTCGACGGCCGACACGATGCTGAGGATTTCTGCTGTCTCGCGGGGCGTGAGGCCGCGCGTCACGCCGAACACGGGCAGCTGCAGCACCGCGTACGGCGAGCCGGCCGCCATGAGGAAGACCGACAGCGCCACCAGCATGAAGAGCGGGTTGCTCAGCAGCGGCAGGTCCAGCCAGAGGCGCAGGCGGCGCAGCAGGCCGGGCGCGCAGCCGCCACCGCCGGCCAGCCGCCGTGCCTGATCCTGCGGCGGCACGTCGGCGTTGGCGGTGATGTCGGCCGTGCTCAGCAGGAGCGAGGAGGTGCGCCGGCGCGCCGGCACCTTCAGCAGCACCGGCACGGGTCGGCCGAGCCGATCAGCGTGCGTCACCTCCACCAGCCGTGGCCGGCCGTCGACACCGCCGCTCTGCGTCGCCCCCACCGCACCCACACCCAGTCCGGCCCGGCTTGCGGCCGGGTCGGCGACACAGCCGACTTCCGGGGCCGTCAGCGGCGCGCCGTCGGCGCCCTCGAGCCGGCGCCGCCGGCGGCGGGCGCGCCGCAGGAGGCGCTCCTGCTGCGCGATCGGCCGGTACAGGGCGGCGCCGGCCACCGCGTGCAGGCAAATGGCGCCGATCACCAGCAGCGTGCCGCGCAGGCCGAACTGCTCCAGCAGGAGCTGCAGCAGCGGCGGCATGACGAAGCTGCCCGCGGAGTTGCCGGCCATCACGAGCCCGTTCACCAGTGAACGTCGCGTCGGGAAGTAGTGCGTGGCGATCAGGATGCTGGGAGTGGTGATGAAGCCGCAGCCGATGCCTGCGGCCGAGGTGGGCGCCGCGTGAGAGACGGGTGCGCCGCCCGCGCCAGGCACCACCGATGCGGTGCGGCGTTCCGTGAGATGGTGGCGCGGGAGCGAGCAAACAAACAGTGCGGGGTCCCGTGAGATGGTGCAGGAGCGAGCAAACAAAGGGAGTGGAACCCGTGAGATGGTGGTGCAGGAACGAACAAACAAACAACGCAGCGTTCCGTGAGATATTGATGTAGGAACGAACGAACAAAGGGAGCGGTAGCCCGTGAGATGGTGATGCAGGAAAGGCCCCACAAAGAGTGCGGCTACCCCTGAAGTGGTAGTGCAGGAACGGGCTAACAAAGAGCGCATAATAAAACATGTGTTTGGCGTCACATCTATGACTGTACGCACAGAATGTTAAAACTTGGACAAGAAGTTCAGTGGGCTGGATAAAAGGTACCCATTTCGCACCAAATCACTTAACTTCAAGTGCAACGTGCATTATAAGCATGGACTATGGATTGCATATCAGATTTCTACCTTACTGTGAGCGTTCAATGGGAATAACCAGGAATTGACGGCGAGGTCGTTGGATTGACACGTGTGTGGTAACCACGCCGATATCTGCCATGCCACGCATGCGTGAGATTCCCTTTCAAGAACAATGTAGACAAACGAGGTTTCTAAGGCAAGCACGCCATATACGTCACTTTCATGAGAACGAACTTGAAAATCTTTTTTTTACTAATTGTTTAACCTGACTACTTATGGCTGAATTTGGCGTTCACTCAGTATGTCCCATGATGCACCATAGCAGAATGCAACGCGCAATACATGTCGCCACATCGCCCGTCGTCTCCATCACAACGCCCCGTCACCTCCTCCGCCACATCGCCCTCTTCGCCTCCACCACATCACCCCGTCGCCTCCACCATGTCGCCCCGTCGCCTCCATCATATCGATCCGTAGCCTCCATTACATCACCCCGTCGTCTCCTCCCTCACATCACCCCGTCGCCTCCACCACATCACCCCGTCGCCTCCACCACATCACCCCGTCGCCTCCACCACATCGCCCCGTCGCCTCCACCACATCACCCCGTCGCCTCCATCATATCGCCCCGTCGCCTCCACCACATCGACCCGTCGCCTCCACCACATCGACCCGTCGCCTTCACTACATCGATCCGTCGCTTCCACCATAACGCCCCGTTGCCTCCGCCACACCACCCCGTCGCCTGAACCGCACCGGCTCGTACCCGATACGACCGGCCTCGCGGCGCCCGGGGGACGGCTGGCTCACCCACAAGCAGGCCGATGGTGAAGCAGAGCTGGAGGATGCTGGTGGCCAGCGAGCTGAGGCAGAAGCCGACGAAGCAAAGGAGGCCACCGAACGTGGCGCATTGCCGGCAGGTGAACCTCTGGCAGAGGGCCCCGACCAGCGGTGCTGTGGGCGACGGGTCAAGTCAAGCCATTTTATTCAGGGTATTTCAACAAGTGGCTCAGTGTTTTATTTCAGTCACATCACATAGCACAAAAGTAAAATACAACCCCACACGAACAACCTAAAGACTGATGAGCCAAAAAGTAAAACGCAACCTCATAAAAGCACAGTGTGGTGTAGCGTTGCTCAGAACGATCGAGTTTGTTGCGAAGTCATGCCCCGTTTGAGAGCCACGGTCTGCCGACAGCGGCGAGACAGGGTGAGTCGGCCAGTTTTCCGTGCCGGACGCCTTTCCTGTCCGTCACAGCTGAGAGACGCACTTCCTATCGGAAAACATGTCCCTGATAAAGCGATCATTCCAGTGGATTGGAGCATCGGTTCGGTTCGATACTGCGTGTTGTCAACATGGACGAGTACGCATTCCGTTTTGTTACCTTTTCATATATGAACTTTGGGCTCATGAACTCCCACCACATTTTCATACTTGAATACTCATTTATTATCGCTAGTGCTGTGCTAGAAGAGGGCCGTCTAGTCCCTCATTTTCTTAAAAAAAGCTAATTCACCATAATTCGTTCAAGTCCTTCAGATAAGTATGAAAGCCAGTGAACTCCAGGTCTTTCGGCATTATCTGTTCAGAGCCCGAATGTTGACAGTTCACTGGCTCAGTTAGCACTGGCAGGACCGTAGACCTCTCCTGACAGAAATATAAAATCAGCGCTCATTTTCCATTGGACAACACGGTGAGATAACTCACAAATCACTCACAAATCATCAGGCTGGTGGTGAGTAACATTCCTGTGACCACCGCCGTCTCGGAGGCACTGACGTTGAACATCTCTATTATCCGTAGGTTTATGAGTCCGAACGACTTGACTGTGCCCACGATGCACATGTTTGTCAGGAAGGCGCCGAGCACTACCAGCCAGCCGTGCCCGCCGTCCACCACCACCGGGTCCTCCAGCCCCTTTGACTCTTCTTGGCCATCGGGCATCTCCTGCCCTTCGCGCTTCTCCTGCTCCTCGGACTCCTCCTGTCCCTCGGCCTCGTCGTGCTCTTCGGACTCCACCTGCTCCTCGGGCTCCTCCTGTCCTTTGAGCTCCTCTTGTCCCTCGGCCTCCTCCTGCTCTATGGACGCCTCCTGTCCCTCGGCCTCCTCCTGCCCTTCGGGTTCTTCGTGCTTCTCGGACTCCTGCCCCATAGGCTCCTCCTGTCCCTCGGCCTCCTCCTGTCCCTCTGGCTTCTCCTGCCACAAGTCCAGCCGCAGGTGGTGCGGAAGCAGGCCATCGCCGGCCGGCCGTTCGTGCTCCGGCACGGCTCCGACCGGTGACGGGGACGGCCCGTGGCACGAACCGGGCGCCGGCAGCGAGGCGCGCCGGGACTCGCCGCAGTCCTGTGTCACCATTGTCACACCGCGGACGATGCTGGCGCCCGCCTCACTGGTGGAGGGTCGGTGTCTTCGGCCTTGGTGCCTCGGCGAGGTCGGGAGCGTTGGCGCGCCGCCAGCGGGTCGTCCGGTGTCGCCGCGTCGAAAGGTCTCCTCCACTCGCCGTTCGCTATCTCTCCCACGAGTCTCGCCGGTGGGCGGGGCGGTGCGGACGCCTATCAGACTTTATGGTGGCGTGATCAGCTGGTCAGCTGTGCACCACCGTAGCACGCGTATGCTGGGTACGCGCGAATCTCAGTCAATGGCCGGCGTGGCGGCACTCCAGGGCACTGACGACACAGGCAGGCGGGTGACGTGTGCAGCACACGCCAGGGCCGTCAGCTGTTTGCTCCGGTACCATTTTGCTGCAAACACGCAACGGTTGCGGTGGCATTTGATGGCAGGGCCGTAGATCCACAGAATGAATTGGGAGGGGGGGGGGGGGCGGGCTGAATGGTGAAAAATGACCCAATTTGCTCCAAAATAGGCCAAGGAACAGGTTTTTCCCCAGTTCGCTAGATTTGCCCCACTTTCTTCCCAAAGTTGGGGGCGGGACCCCAAGTTGAGGGTGGGGCTGAATCATCCAACTGAATAGGAAATTACATCCCTGTTTGATGGAGTTCACAGGGTATCTTTCCACTGTCTTTCAAGTGGGTCACGTGTCCGCGGCGGGGCTGGTGTAATCTGCATGTGACGTCAGGGAGCTCTCGAGCTTTCGGGACTGATGAAATTGCATGAATGGTATGCGGCTGGCGGATGGCCGAGATGGAAAAATATGTGACCCTTATGCTTTACGGCAATCACGCGACTTCACAGTCGAGCCACGCAGTCATCAAAGGGCCCAGGAAACGACTCGCTCAAAAATTAGTGGATGAAACACAAGAGAGAGAGGGAGAGAGAGAGAGAGAGAGAGAGAAGAGAGAGAAGAGAGAGAGAGAGAGAAGAGAGAGAGAGAAGAGATAGAGAGAGAGAGAGAGAGAGAGAAGAGAGAGAGAGAGATAGAAGAGAGAGAGAGAGAGAGAGAAAGGAGAGAGAGAGAGAGAGAGAGAGAGAGAGAAGAGAGAGAGAGAGAGAGAGAGAGAGAGAGGAGAGAGAGAGAGAGAGAGAGAGAGAGAGAGAGAGAGAGAGAGAGAGAGAAGAGAGAGAGAGAGAGAGAGAGAGAGGAGAGAGAGAGAGAGAGAGAGAGAGAGAAGAGAGAGGAGAGAGAAGAGAGAGAGAGAGAGAAGAGAGAGAGAGAGAAGAGAGAGAGAGAGAGAGAGAGGAGAGAGAGAGAGTAGAGAGAGAGAGGAGAGAGAGAGAGAGAGAGAGAGAGAGAGAGAGAGAGAGAGAGAGAGAGAGAGAGAGAGAGAAAGTGGTATGTCCCTATGTTGGAACATTGGTGAAATGCTTTTCAGGTGTGTTTCGTCCGGCAATACCATCCGACCGTGCAATCTGCGTTCGTCATTCAGAATGTAAACGAAAGGAAATGCACAGCATCTCCTGTCTCTCGGAGCTGCAGGCTCTGAACAACAGCATCAGATGAAGCTTCAAAAGCTGACGCTAACTTCGCGCAATGAGCCTTCACTCGCACAAGGCAAAGTTCCTCCCTCCGGTGCCGTCTTTCAGGACAGCGGTGTGATGTCCCATCCGCGCCAAAAGCTTGGCGAAATCGATGACGTTCTTGAAGCACATGAGGAGCTTGCACGTTCTAACATGGGATATAGCGCCCAACGTAGTAGGCGAATTCGAGGCCCAAAAATTCGTCGTTCGAAATGTCTAGTAATTTGAAGGCATTGTGCATAGCACGCATTGGCCATCCAGAGCGAAATATTCTGGGCATGTCCCCTAAATGCTGGGAAGGGAGACCATCTTTTAACGCTTTTGCAATTTTAAACGCTCAACACCTTCCAAAATTTTATTAAATATGTTAGTCTGCTGCAAACTAAGGTCGGCAAAAGAGTAAAAGAAAACCACTAGCTGTAACTTAGGAACATACTTGATGTTCCTATAAATGGTTTGTCGTGTATCTATCCGGAAGTACTTCAGTTGCTTCTGAAAACATAGGCCAATTTTTCTTATGAACTACAGTTTCCTTCCAAGCATATAATTACACGCCAAGTGGCCAGCCGGGAGTTAGTTTGAAGCGGGCACACGCGCTCAGTGCGGTCTTGCCGAAAATAGAGGGGAGGATTATAGCGAGGGGAGGCAGGCGTGTGGATTGGAATAGGAAAAGAATGCAATACGATGCTTAAGAATATGATGAAGAACAGATCACTTTTCAGATCTACTTATATGGTGAGCTCAATGGTCTCGTGCCAGGGTCACAAACACAGAGCAAAGTTCATTTTTAAAAGTTAGTAAAGACAAAATTTTAGTACGAGGTTCTTATATAGTCATAAGCAAACAACATCAATTAGTGGTCATTCAGATTATGATATGCAAGTCCAGCATGTAGTCGAAGGGAAGTTGGACATTGATCTGTGATGGTATTTCTGGAGTGGTAGGCAGGGGCGCAGCCAGAGCCTTGGCAAGGGGAAGCACAGGGTTTGCAAATGGCCTCCTGACAGTAAAAGGGCGTCCAAAAATTAGATATTATATATATGCGTATATATATATATATATATATCGGGATATTTTGGCAGAATTCTTTCCTTGATACATCTTTGATTAAAAATAACTGCTGACTCAGCATTGACGAGCTTTTTGATGCATCGTTCTAGTTTCCGGGCCTTTGACATTGGTGCATTTTACAACATTTTTTCGTTTGCGACAGGAACACGACATGACATTGACACGACAACAACTGACAGACAGCACTGACATTTTACGGACGTGCAGTGACAGAAGACGCCTTCAAATTTGGGAAAGCATATTTATTAACGAACTCTCTCCGGCCTTAAGCAGACAGACAAATTCTTGCAGAACTCTTGAACTACTAGGTGGTGGGCGGTGAGCACTTCTGGTGTGATTGTGGCAATAGTGTTCCCATTGTGTTTTTGTGGTGTTCCCATTATGACTGTTTCTTACATGTGTGAAAATGAAAATAGGATTCCGTCTTACTTCAATTAGTTATGCTTCATTTATGTTCTCCGTACCAAAAGATGTTTTCCAACAGTAGTGCACAATTTTTCATCCTTTAAAACTCAAAACTTATTTCTTGTGCAATTTAGTCTTCTTCGACGATGAGATAGGATCTCGAAACTTTAGAATGGAAGGAGTGATGAATATATGAGTAATTTTGTGCGAACCATCTTTAATCTAAGCGATGACGCCAAGTCAAAGGCCCGGAAACTAAAACGATGCATCAAAAAGCTCGTCAATGCTGAGTCAGCAGTTATTTTTAGTCATATATATATACATATATATGTACTACACATTGTTCCTTGTGTTATTGGAATATAGGCCAGACGCCATCGCGAGATCAATTCTGCATGTAGTTTATAGCAAATCAACCGAAAAAATCATATGTTAAATGACTGCACGAAATAAATCGTCGGTGCTCCCCATTTTGCAATGGTCCAGTGGACTCTTTAAATCGATAGAGCTCAGAAACTTTGTCAGAACTTAGATCTGGGCTGTATAGAGATATTAACACGCTCCCGGGTGGCCAGTTGGATACCCTTCGCTCGGGTGGGGGTCCATTTGACCCGGCTGAAATCTCAAGAACTAAGAGAGCTTTAGGCACCAAATTCACAGGATGTGTTCACCTGTACGTGAACTCACTTAGGTGAAAGCTTAAGATTCCTAAGTTATGATCTTCGAGTCAAGTAAGGTCAAACATGGTCAAAGATCAGGTTGGTTTCCAAAAGGCCCCTGGAACCTAGAAAAGTATTGTGAGCGAAAGGTTACATGCTCACCTAGGGTCAGTGGTCTCGTTTGACCTTTTGAAGGTCATGGTGACCGAAATCATGCAAGACTACTTTGAGTTTTGCATTTGGATAAGCGACATAGATTACGCTGGCAGTATGTTTCTAAAAACAAAATATTGACCTAGGTCATTTAGGTCAGTGACCCATTCTGACATTTAAGAAGTCTATGGAAGGTGTATGCGATTCCTATTATCAATAAGTTCGACATGAGCACCAGAAACTACCTCATACGGCAAGCCCTAGAGCAATAAAGCAGATTGATTTTGACCTTGGTCTGACCTGTATAACTGACCTTAGATTAATGTAACCTGTTCATGCCATTGTTGTATTGCCTAAAAAGCATCTCAGGGATGCATGGCTTCGTTTAACACTCCGTTGTTGGTTCATATTAAACGATTCCCTGGAAATCGCCTTCGCTGAAACCATGGCCTGATTTCGACCCGTCATATTTCAGCGACCTTATAAGGTACATTTAGATATTTCATGCCAAACAATTTGCTATTTAATTGCCTACAGCTATGCACAATCTGGTGCGGCTACGTCGCGCTGTTCGGAAACCATTCCGGAAAAACTGTGTAGGGGTCAATTTGATCCCCCACCCGAGCGCGTGTTAGAGATTCCGTGAATGTAGATTGAAGATCAAAATGGGTCAGCAGTTTGCATGAACATGACCAAGCCATGTTTCTCTGGGCATGTTCAACATTCAGTGAATCTATTAGTGGTGCAAATTATGTAACGTAGTTCTGAGCTTGTACGCTCGCATGCCTCACCAGCAAAAACCTCGGCGCCAGGCACTGCAGTCTCCATAGGCCACCCAGTGTCGGCCCAGCGCCTATTAGTCTACGGTATACAGGTGGACGGAAATGATCACTCAATGGTCAATGATCGGAATGATCTAAGAAGTAGCTATTGAGCGCTTTTGGACACTAAATCGTAAAATAAGAGATATTCTGAACGTATATTTTACCTGTGCGGTTTTTAGATTAATGACAATAACGTACCGGTCTCTACATCATCGCGAAGTGGTGCTGGAATCTGATGGTGGCATTGGAGAAGTAAAAGCAAAATCTCTATTTTTCCTGTTGCTGTGACTGTTAATCTGTCCAGAGGACAGCCTCAAAGTTGTAAAAAATTCGCTTGGTGTAATCTTTGAATCGTACCAGTTAATTTTGAAAGACATTCAGAAAAAAACGTTATTTTACGAGGTCATCGTTGCGCGCTC